TGAATTAATTATATTTTAATAATTAAATTTAGATCAACATTTAAAAAACATGTTAAATTAAGTATGCACCAATTATTTTCCTCACGGGATAATGTTATAGATGCAAAGCAGGAAGAAGGAAAGTGTATATAAGTTTATATATAAAGCTCGATCGGTGTTTCTTTTTTTTTTTTTCAACAAAGCTCGGGTATGTTGAATATATAGATAACTAAAGGAATTTTTTTTTTTTTTTTTTTTCAACAAAGCTCGGGTATGTTGAATATATAGATAACTAAAGGAATTCAATAAATATGCAATTCAGCCCCCCCCTCCCCCCCCCCTCCCCTCTCTCATCCTGATTTTCTCCTCTTTTTCGTATTTTTTCTCCCATCTAACCATCATTACCTCTCTTCTCCTTAGTGGTTAAGGTGGATAGCTAAAAATGAGAGTTCTCTTCTTTATTGTGAGAGTTTTTTCCTCTCTAGTGGAGGCTTCTGCATCTTTTTTTTTTTTTTTGAAGGGTTTTACATTTAACTTTCTCAACCCTTTTTTATCAAGATTTGCTTTTGTTGGAGGAAAATGGCAACTTGAACACAATATTGATTGAACTTAGATCAATTATCATATTTGCTTTTGCTATTGAAGGCATGGTTGGTGACAAAATCCCTAACTAAATTTTTCTACCCTAATCAATTTATCTTTTGTTGAGATAGATTATACTAAAATATAACTAAATTGTTAAATCTCAAGTTTAGATCTAAGTATAATATTTATATAGGCATTAGAGTATTTGATTTTTCGTTTTCAAGCATTTTATAATTGTAATACATTTAGTCGTATAACCCTTATGATTTTTATATATTAATAAAATTCTATTTCTTATAAAAATAAATAAATAAATATGCAATTCAAGAGATAAAAAGAGGCAACACTTCACCTTTTTCAAATTTATCGGAGATTTGGTACAAATAAATGCATAACCTTTAAAAAAAAATTTTAATTATGTAATCATTTTTTTATTAATCAAAGCTAATACCTTTTAAAAAAATTTAATTAAATATGTGGCCTTACATATCCACTTAATCCCTTTATTATTATTTTTTTTTTAGGAAAAAGAAGAAGCAGAAGAAGAAAAACAAATTAAGTGGCCAGACCCAAGCACAAAACCCAAACTAAATTAAAACTCCAAACTCAGCAAGCCTAAACCCAAAACAAGGAATTCAGGCCCGTTTTGGCCCATGTGAAAACAGTAAGAAACCCCTGGGTACCCTCTACGGAGACCCAAATCTGATCTTACTGAAATTTCCATGGAAATAAATTACTTTTTTTTTTTTTTTATGGTATGGGAATAAATTACTTGAGGTCCGGAACAATAACTTAGAGATGTTATGAACATCTTTAATTTGTCAAATGATATCTGTGTCTCGGAGTGTGGAATGTTACAGTGAAGAATTAATTTGAGAACTGTCTAAATGCTCACCAATTATGCCTGGAATTTTACTGTTAGTGTGTTTTACGAATTTGAAGTAGCTTCTGATTATCATATATATTTGCTGTTTTAACTTTATATTCTCGGCTTCATTAACCATTCCCTATCTATAAAACAAAATATGGAGGATTGTAACAAAGATGATATATATGATGATATAACGATAAAGAACGAGAAGAGTTCTCTGCAGCCAGTGATGGTGAATTGGTGATGATTGTTTTTTTTTTTATGATAATGATGAGATAATCCTTTTGAAAGTGACAAACAGAGATGAGATTAATTGTGTGATGACAAGGATAGCAATACTGTGTTTCTTCTATGCCTAATTTAACCTAATTTGTCATTGTCTTAAACATGTTTGTTAATAACTAATTAATGGATCCAATATGAAATGTATGGAAAATTTTTCCACCAGATGTTACCCAAATCAATGTGTGTGTGGAAATCAAACTTTTTTTTTTTTACTTTGTCATTGTCTTTGATATTTTTGTTAATAACTAATTAATGGATCCAATATGAAATGTATGGAAAATTTTTCCACCGGATGTTACCCAAATCAACGTGTGCGTGGAAATCAAACTTTTTTTTTTTTTTTTACTTTGTCATTGTCTTAGATATGTTTGTTAATAACTTTTAAAAATTCAAAAAATGAAATGTATGGACTACCTTCCCACCATATCTATAGCCAAAATCAATGTGTGTGGAAATGATTTTTTTTTTTTTTCCTTTGATTCCTTTTCCAGCCTCTCAAATTTGAGATTAATGGTTTTTAGTTTACCATATCTCGAGATCATCATCTATTCAAACTGATCCAGTTCATCTAAGAAAAGCACATCTGATGCATGACTTTTTCTTGTGAGTTTCTAGAGGTTTTTGGACAAAAATTCAATTTGAGCGTATAGACTTTCAAATTAGAGATTTTGAATTCAAAATTTATTTTTTATATTGGTTGCATAATGAAAGACAACTTTCTTTTATTTCTTATATCACCTCACTCGCATGTAATGAGACTCAAATTCATGATCTCTTATTTTTAACGGAAGGAAATTACTATTGAGATATTTAATTCATTCGTGAATTCAAATATTTTATAAATATAAATAACTCAAAAAAAAAAAAGAAGAAGAGAATGAGTAAATAATTGTCAATCTATCATATATTGTATAGCTTAGTATCCTCATTTGATGATATATAGACTTAGGCTTAGTTTAACATTGTTAATTTATAACTGCCATTATAAGTTTTTTTTGTCTTTTAACACCACAAAAATATCTAAAATATATTTTATATTTATTTTAATTAATATTTTATATATTTTTAAAATAAAAAATAAAAAAACTAAAAAATAAAACACCAAAAAATATTGTCAAACGAATTCTTGTTGCATAACACGTCACTATCTTTACCCAACACACATACCATATCTTAGGGAAAGCTTTCAAATTCTAGGCTCAACCATGCATAATAAAGAAAGTGAATCAAAATTGAGCTGCTAAGCTTGATATATATATATATATATATATATATATATTTAATAACTAACCTTTTAATTATTGCAAGTGTACAAAGCTAATTAAAAAGGGTAAAAAAAGGGGATAAGACACAAGAATCATTCAAATATCAAAGGAACATATAATTTCAAGAGACCCCACAAAAAGTAAACACTTCTATATCTCTGCAAATTGCTGTGGAAGATGACAGACTGTCAGCTGTCTTGATGCCTTCCCACACGTGTGCACTTTGCCAAACTCACCTCCCCTTTTTGATTTTTCTCTGGCTTTTGTCCATTCAAGTTGGATGTTTTTGAATGATTGTATGGAAGTTTCTGTTGAAACTTTGTTCTCTCTTGGCCAAAGTAGCTTTTAGCCTTGCTGCTAAGAGTACTCTTCTTTCCTTTTGACCCAAATTGGCATTCCTCTCTTCATTCTTACTGTGGGGAAGTGGACAATGGTATCTTCCTCTGCCACCCACCTGCATGTAATCATATACGTTCGAAAACTTGTTTTTGTTTAGTGCTTTAATTCAGAGAAAAAGGTAGTCAAATATAAGGGTTTAGACCAAGATCTTTAGTAGATATCTTCTAGCCTTAAACCTAATGCATGTTTATATATCATGCCAAAAACCGTAGCCTAGATCTTTACTTTAGAGTTTAGTTATGAATTTTGATCATCGAGATGAGAGAATATCTATTGTTGGCCTAACCCTAAAATGGCTATATATATCATTAGCGTCTTTCTTTTATGTAAAATCTTGGTATTGTAATCCTATTTGGAGCCTTAAACCATTGTCGGTGACTTATTATCGTCTTATGCTTGACTTGAAGAAGTTATGTTCTCAATGCATTTGACTGAGTAAAAATATACAAGTGATGACCCACTATTTAAATGATGCACAGCTGGTCAGTAGTGACCATTTCACACGATTTAGTAATTTTGGCTAGTGGAGTCTCTATGGTTGTCTTGGCTTAAAATGGCTACAAGTTTCCCAACTTTTTGTGATGGTTGCTCCTTTGGTGAATTAATGAGTTGGTAACAAGCAGAGGTGGTTTAGTAAGTCTTACACTGACCCTACTTTGGAAAAGAGCCATGGAATCTAGGTGGTCACATGTGATAAGCAACAAAGGTGGGTATGAAGGAACTATGAGAGAGCAGATGTCCTAGTGAGCCCATGGCTGAAAGTTTGATGTCTTTTGATATGATTTTATCTTAGCTCATGTGTTAAAAGTGAAGAAAGCATAAGTGTTGGAGGGTGACATTCATTGTGACATTCATTAAGATTACATGTAAGCTGTTTTTGGTAACATTAGCTTGTTTAGCTACCTCGTTAATTATCAAGGATTACGTTAGGAGTATCAACTAGACTGCATTGAAGCTTTATTAAGATTAAAACCTATTTACTTCAATGGATGTAATAATTAACCTGTTATCGAGTTATTATAACACACATTGATTAATCAATAATATGCAATATAAAAAAGGAGAGAAGTGAGTGAAATAAGGGCTTTTGTTACCTGAACTGAGTAACAAAGCGGTGTAGGAAAATGGAAGCTTCTAGCCTGGCCAAGTCAAGTCCAGGACATAGCCTTTGTCCACCGCCAAATGGTGTGAAGTTATGGTTGCTTGTGTCTATTTCCTATGAGAGACATCAGTTTATGAGCCAAATTCTACCGAACAAACATTAACTAACATAAAATAACAAATGATGACTACAACATAAAAGAGGGTCCATTTCATACTTGCCACCTCCAAGGATTGAACTGATAAGGCCAATCATAGTGATTTTCATCAAGATGAACTGATCTAAAATATGCAAAAAAGCACCATCCTTTGGGGATTAGATACCCTTTTATCTCTATATCTTTGGTGGCTTTTCTCATCACCCCAATTATGATGTTTCCCATCCTTAGAGTTTCTGTAATAACCTGTTTAGACAGTTTTAAGTTAATAAATTTCTGTTAATCAATAATTATCCCTATGTTAGTACATTTGAATGAAAGATTTAACTTACATTTTGTGTGAAAGGTAATGACAAAAAATCATTCCAGCACAATGGTTCTCCATTCTGATCTTTGTCTCTTTTCAACTTCATATTTTCTTCCTGCGAAGATTGAGAAAATGAAAGATGACTAATTAGCAATTGTGAGAGTCATACAGACATGACCTGTCAAAGAAAATCAAGACCCGTTTCTTTAAAGAAACTGGGTAAATATCATGTTGAAGTAAAATATATACACATCTTTAATTTTTTTTGGCCCTATGTTATGATTGTTAATGGATTAGAGATCAGTAGTTGCTTTCATAAATTGTGGTGCAGACTCTAGTAATTGGGAGGAAAGAGCTGGTAAGAGCTCGTCCTTGGAATTCAAACTTGTGCCCCAGATTCCTAGAAGGGCTAGGATGATATTAACATGTCATAAATGATGGAGACATCCCTAAAAGGACAAGCAAACCAGTAACTATTTAGCCAATTTGTCAAAAAATGGTCTTGTCTCTCACACTATAATACAAAGAAAATTTATCATTATCGTCCTTCTAGCTAGGACAACATTGACATGTTGAAAGGGTCTACTTAGATCAATTAGATTCAGATTAGAATAACAACAGTACCGATTAATTAGTGAAGGAAATGATGGTAGTGACATGATTTTGTTAATTAGATATTTGAACCAGAGAGTGCATACCGTCAATTGCTGCAGAGCTGCAGGGCAATCTGAAAGGTATTTTATTGCAAGAGTCATTAGGACCGGCACTGATTCCTCCCCTGGTATCATCATATCAATCATATTATCTGCTATGAGATCATCTGTTAATTTCCCACTTGTGTCTTGGAGCAAAGTATCCATGACATCTCTTGGAACTGTTGGCATGCCTGAATTCCTCTTGGATAGGATGATTTTGTGAAGCATCTTAACCATTTTCTTCTTCGCCTGAAACAAATCAAAGGGATCCTGCTTAGAGCTGACCAGGCGTAAACAAGAAAATTAAAGAAGCTAAATTTGACTGATTAACTTGCCTCTAAGGAGCGATAAAGTTGACTTCCAGGTACCTTTACAGGTAAAGACATTAGACCTGAGATAAATTCATGGAACTGTTCTTTGAGATATTCCATTTCTTCACTTGGATCCAAACTAATCAATGCCTTCACAAGTACTTGGAAGGCAATCTGAAACAGAAAAAGGTTATTTTCTTAGCAACTTTTAGTGAAAGTTACACTTTCGCTGATGAAAAGATGAAGGACGAGAACATAATTATTATGAACGTAAGTTCTTAGACAACATGATTCAGTAAAAATTATTATGAACCCCACAAATTGGGTTTTTATCACTTTACAGCCAAATCATTTAAAAAACTGAAGTAGAAGCCAGAGATAAAATTGAAACTCCTCCAATGATTCCTTTCACAGAAGAGAGAGAAGATACTCGTGCGTATGTTGTTTTTCTCTTTGACTTGTTTCTGATGAGGCTCTTACTTCCTCACAAAAACTCCTAAAACTTAGAAGAAGAAGCCAAATATGGATTTAAAAGAGATGGCTTCTTTTATTTCTTTCTAAAAAATCTCATCCTAAAAACTTGAGGAAATCAAAGGTGTAGAAAACAAACTCCTATGAAATAATCTGCTTTCCAATACTCAAACACGCGAAAACACAAACACTTGGAAAGCACAAAATGAGGGAGGGAAACAGAAACAGCACTAACATTTTTGGTTTTATCTTGGATGTATATGGGTTGGTCTTCTCTCCACTTATCCATTGATTCTTGGATATACTTCATCATGTCTCTGGTGATCTGAGCTTTGAGATGGGGAGACTTGATGAAAGCTCCTATGAGTCCATGAACGGTCCTCTGTAAACTCCCATTGATGAGCAAAATGGAGGATTTTCCCATCAACTCGGTGATAGATTTCGGGTAAGACGGTACGAATGCCTTGACATCATGCAGAACAACTCTGCTGACTTCTGCATCTGTTGAAACAATCGTTGGGGTTCCAAATATGTGTGACTTGAACACTTTCCCATACCTGAAAAAAACAAAAACCCATTTTCCAAATAAGAAAACCAAAACAACCCATTATCATTTCTCCATCATATTCTTCAAAACCAGAGTAAAGTTAGTAACTTGATGATGAACTTACATCCGGCAGCGTTTATCCATGAAGCTCTCCGGGCGGTCGGAGTAAGCACAAGAGATGAACTCGAGGGTTTCCCCGAGAAGGGGCCATCCTAGACTGCCAAGGGGGAGTTTTCCTTCGTATTTGGACGACGAAGAGGAGGAGGAGGAGCTTAGTCGGAAGTTGGTCCTTCTGTGGTGGAGAAGTACTATGGAGAACAAAAGAGTTGCTGTGGCCAACAGAGTCCACAATAAGTTGTCCATCTCCATCATGTTCGAGTGGTAGTTTTCTTGCTTGCCGCACGAATGCTTCACCTCTCCCTCTCTCTCTCTTTTGGTTCCTTATATATGCTTAATTAATCATAATAACCATGGCCACGACAACAATTCTTTCTAGTTTCTACCTCTTTTTTTAACAGCAACTATTATATGTGTATGTGTACAATGCATGTATGCACGCGCCTAAAGGATTTGGGATTTTTTATTTCAAAGAGTTGGGTAGTGATGTTAACCTTTCTTCCTTTTCTTATCTTATTATATGGCTAAATTTAATTTTTCAT